CGCGTCGGGCTCTGTGCTGACAGCTCAGAGCCTGGAGCCTGCTTCCGATTCTGTGTCTCCCTCTCTCTGACCCTCCCCTGTTCATGCTCTGTCTCTCTCTGTCTCAAATAAATAAAAACATTTTTTAAATGTTTTTAATAATAAATAAACAAACAAATAATTTTTTAAAACGGTTAGGATGGCAAATCGTATGTTGTGTGTATTTTACCACAATTTTTTTAATTGGGAAAAGCTTATTGGGAATTTTTATATCTGTGTTCATGAGAGACATTGGTCTTATTAGTGCTTTTCTTGTGATGTCTTTGGTTTTGGTATCATGGCAATGCTGGCTTCCTAGAATGAGTTAGAAAGTATTTCCTCCTCTTTGGCCTTTGAGAAGAGTTTGTGTTGATTTTTTTTAATGTTTATTTCTTTTTTATAGAACACAGCGGGGAGAAGAGAGAGAGGGAGACACAGAATCGGAAGCAGGCTCCAGGCTCTGAGCTGTCAGCACAAAGCCCGACACGGGGCTTGAACCCACAGACCATGAGATCACAACCTGAGTTGAAGGTGGTTGCCCAACGGACTGAGCCACCCAGGTGCTCCTGTGTAGATTGCTTTTTACCTTAAAGTTTTGGTAGATACCATCAGTGAAATCATCTGGGCCTGGGATTTTTCTTCATGGGAAGGTTTTTAATTTAACTTTCAATTTTTTAAATAGATACAGAGTTATTCAAGTCACCTCGTTTTCTTTTTTTTTTTTTAATTTTTTTAAGTTTATTATTTTGAGGCAGGGGGAGGGGCAGAGAGAGGGAGACACAGAATCCGGAGCAGGCTCCAGGCTCTGAACTGTCAGCACAGAGCCAGATGCGGGGCTCGAACTCCCGGACCACAAGATCATGACCTGAGCTGAAGTTGGATGCTCAACTGATTGAAGCACCCAGGCGCCCCAAATCACCTAGTTTTCTTGAATGAGCTTTGGTAACTTGTGTCTTTTAAGGAATTTGTCCATTGCACTCAAATTGGCAAATTTAGTGCCCAGACTTGGTCGTAATTTTCCCTTAGTATTGCATTTTTTAAGGTTTTATTTATTTATTTTCAGAGAGAGAGAGAGAGGGAGCTCAAGTGGAGGAGGGGTAGAGAAAGAGGGAGAGAGCGGGGAAGGGAGAGAGAGGATCCCAACCAGGTTCTGTGCTGCCAGCGCAGAGCCCAATATGGGACTAGAACTCACAACCAGCGAGATCACGACCAGAGCCGAAATCGAGTAGGTTGCTTAACTGACTGAGCCACCCAGGCGCCCCTATTATTGCATTTTTTTATTCTCGTGTTTGTCTTTTAGTTGTTTCAGGCGAGAAGGTGAATCCAATCCTGGTGACCTCACCTTGGCCGGAAGCATAACTTAGGACCTTTTACTTTTGTTCTGAGATGGAAAAGTTACAGGACAATTGTGAGCAGAGGAGTGAAACGAGTTACGGGTTCCAGAATTTTTCCAGTTGCTGTGTTAAGAAGCGTCTAAAGAGAGTTGAGGGCAGGACCAGGGAGACAAATTAGGAGTCTGTTGCAGGAGACGATGGCGGCTTGGACCAGTGTGGTGGTAGTCGTGGTCAGAGGGTACTCCGATTAGGAAATCGGAGCTGACTGGCTTGTCTGAAGGATGAGCAGCGGGAATGGGAGAAGCGAAGTAACTGGAAGAATGGCGCTCCAGTAACTGAGATGGGAAAGAACTACATGAGAATCCCCAGAGAGGGTGGGACGCGTCTGGCTTGAGCTGCCTCTTCCTCCTCCACGCGAAGTGTCAAAGTAGCCAGTCGGTTGTACAAACCAAGCCGGAGGTGAGCGGGCGGGGCTGAAGATACGTACTTGAGAGGCATCACCATATGGAAGGTTTGTAAAGACAGGAGATTGGACACAGTCACCTAAGGAGTGAGAGCAGGCAGCGAAGAGATCCAGGACAGCCCCGGGGGAATGGTCATGTCAAGTGCTGACAGATCAAGCGATTCACAAACTGAAAAATGGCGAGCGATGCAGGGGTCACTCGTGACCTTGGAGTGAACAGTTTTAGTGGAGGGGGGGGCTAACTGGAGTGGGCTCAAGGGAGAACAAGAGGAGAGAAATCAGACTCTTGTTGATGTCAGCTGCTCTTTCAAACCACTGGCGTGTTTTGACATTTTAAACAAATGGTTCGAAACATTGAAACTCTTCGTGTGGAAGATTTAAAAATTTTTTTTTCAACGTTTATTTATTTTTGGGACAGAGAGAGACAGAGCATGAACGGGGGAGGGGCAGAGAGAGAGGGAGACACAGAATCGGAAACAGGCTCCAGGCTCCAAGCCATCAGCCCAGAGCCTGACGCGGGGCTCGAACTCACAGACCGCGAGATCGTGACCTGGCTGAAGTCAGACGCTTAACCGACTGCGCCACCCAGGCGCCCCTCGTGTGGAAGATTTTAAAAAGCGAATTAGAAAACTGTTTCCAGGTTCAGTTGTCAAGTAGGAGTTTTAGGCCGCTCCTTGTTTTTGGCAACAAAACAGAACCAATCCTCCTTACTCATCAATTTCATGTTTGTGAATTCACCTACCCACTCATGCTTTCTTGGTCATCCTCAGACACGCGCCCAGTGGCAAGAAAACAACTGGGCATTGCCTGATGCACACTTTCCAGCCGAGGTGGGCACGCTTGTGTAAGCTCTCGTGCTGTAAACAAGTGTCCTTTCCCTGGTCTTTTTTTTTTTTTTTTTAATGTTTATTTTTGAGACAGAGCATGAGTGAGAGGGGCAGAGAAAGCGGTAGACACAGAATCTGACACAGGCTCCAGACTCTGAGCTGTCAGCACAGAGCCTGATGCGGGGCTCGAACTCCCCAATTGCGATAGCGTGACCTGAGCCGAAGTCAGACACTTAACCGACTGAGCCACCCAGGCACCCTTCCCTGGTCTTTTTAATGCTAGGTTTTCCACATTTTGTGCTTCTTGTTGGTGATTTTGCTGCTTAAAGTGGCTCTCAGACATAGTGCTCAACTGTTGTCTGGTGCCCCTAAGCACAAGAAGGCTGTGACGTGCCTTAAGTAGAAAATACCCGTGTTAGGTAAGGTTCCCTCAGGCATGAGCTGTAGATAGTGCTGTTGGCCATCAGTTCAACTAATGAATTGACAATGCATGTTACATAAGGTGTCTTTGAACAGACACACATAAAACAGGGTTACGTATTGACAGGTTCGCAAAAATGTCATGACCAGAGGCTGGCAGAAACCTAACCTTGTATTACCCCGCGGAGTAGCGGTTCAGTCTTGCTCACTGTTTGCCTAACTTCATAGAACACAACTCTTTGGAATGAGGAGAATCAACTGTAACATAGTGGGAATATTTTCCAACATCTCTTTTAAAAATAACATCAAGGGGCACCTGGGTGGCTCAGTCGGTTGAGCATCCGACTGCGGTTCAGGTCATGATCTCATGGTTGGCGAGTTCAAGGCCCACATCAGGCTTTGTGCTGACAGCTCAGAGCCTGCTGCGGATTCTCTGCCTCTTCTCTCTCTCTCTTTCAAAAATAAACAAACGTTAAAAAATTTAAAAATTTTAAAAATTAAAATATCAAAAAAGCAGGCACTTTGAAAAAAAAATTTTAATGCTTATTTTTGAGAGGGAGAGACAGGGACACAGAATCTGAAGCAGGCTGCAGGCTCCCAGCTGTCAGCACAGAGCCCAACACAGGGCTTGAACCCATGAACTGCGAGATCATGACGCAAGCCGAAGTTGGATGCTCAACAGTCTGAGCCACCCAGGCGCCCCTGAAGCAGGGACTTTTCTAATTAAGTTTTTTTTTTTTTTTAATCCCAGTATTGTCAATATACACTGTTATATTAGTTTCAGGTTAATAATACAGTGATTCAACACTGCTATACATCACTGAGCGCTCGTCATGGTAAGTGTATTCTCTTTAATCCCCATCCCCCTACCTTCTAAGTAACCAGCTTGTCATCTATAGTCAAAAATCTGTTTCTTGGTTTGTGATACTTTCAAAATTACTTGTTGAATTGTTAGCTTTACTTTGAAAGGATACAGTTTTTTTAATGTTTATTTATTTATTTAGAGAGAGAAAGCAAGCGTGGGCAGGTGAGGGACAGAGAGAGAGAGAGAGAGAGAGAGAGAGAGAGAGAGAATCCCAAGCAGGCTTCACGCTGACAGTGCAGAGCCCGACTAGGGACTGGATCTCATGGAGTGTGAGATCTTGATCTGAGGTGAGATCAAGAGTCAGATGTTAAACCACTGAGCCACCCAGGTGCCCTGAAAGGACAGGTTTTTTTGTTTTTTTTTTTTAACAGCATCTGCTAGGAAGCATATCTTTGATAGACACAGAAAGAAAGTCTCAGCAAATTTGAGACACTTGTCTTTTTGCAAAATAAATGTATATTAGTGGGGCACCTGGGTGACTGCTGGTTCCCGGACTCTGATCACAGCTCAGGTCTTGATCTCAGGGTTGAGTTATGCCCCATGCTGAGCTCTGTGCTGGGAGTGGAGCCTACTTAGAAGGACAGACAGACAGAAAGAAAACGTGTACTAGAACATATAAACTGCGAGACAGTAATTACCTGTGGGGAAGAGAAGGGAACAAGAACAGTGCCTTCGGTTGTGTCTCTGTAATATTTCTTAAAACTATGAAATAAATATGGCACACTAGGTTACATCTGAGCGATGGGTAGGTAAATGGTTTCTGTTCTTTTCTCCTTTTGGCACAATAATACACGTAAAGCGTAACTAAGAAGAAATAACACTACTGTAATACTGGGCTGTTTGCTGGAGCGCCACCACCAACGGATGAAAGGCTCAAGATTGGTTGGCGATGGCACTGACCCTACCAAAAGGTCAGGACACGCCGTTACAGTTCCTGACAAATAACTCGACGGCTTCAAGACAGAGTCTCGGGTCCGTCGAGTTGCAACCTCACCGCTTTAAAGCCACAAGCTACAGGCGTGCAAAATACCATATTAAACAACTGCATGAAAGGAGGCCCACGTCTGGGGGCGGTGTGCAGGGGTGAGGCGGGACACGTGCCAGCCACTCATCAAAGGCTGGGGACCGAGGCGCACGCCTGGCCTTCTGCGGACCGCGGCTGAGCCTGCAAACAAATCCGGCGTGCAGCTCCCCTGGATTCCACAGCACCGGAAACGGCAACGCCCACTGGGGGCGCTGCGGCCACACGAGTGGAGGCTGCCTTCCAGGAAGCCAAAAAAAAAAAAAAAAAAAAAAAAACCCCCCCCGGGGGGGGGGGGGTGAAGAAAGAAAGAGAAAAAGGAGGGATAGTGGAGAGCCGGGCCCCGGCCGCCGCCCCCACGCCGCGCCCCGCGTCTTCGCCGCCAGGGCCGCCGCCGCTCCCCACGGCCGCTCCCCGGCGGTCCAGCCCTCAGACCCCTCTGCCGACCCGGCGCTGCCCGCCGCCGGGGACCTCAGGTGCGTACCCGGCCCCCGCTGCGGCCGCCATTAAGAGCGGGTGCTTCTCCTGGAACTTTCTACGCTCGCGGGGTGGCCAGTGGGAAGACTGGGGCGGGGGAGGCAGGCCGGCCGTCCAGGCGCACGGCGGGAGGCGCCCCTGTCGCCGTCCCGGCGGCCCCAGAACCCCGTTCCCCGCGGGCCGGGCTCAGGAGTGGGGGTGGGGCAGGGAAACCCCGCCGCGGGGACAACGGTCGCGCGCACGGACGCGCAGCCCTGTCCTCTCCGATTGGCTGGGCGGGGGCGGCGGGGGCGGGCGTCTGCAGGCTCTGGGCTCTCTGGGCCCAGTGGCGCGTGAGGTCACGCTCGGCCTGGCGTACGTGGGGCTCTCCCGCTGCGTGCGGACGTGCTTGATTGGGTAGGTGAGGGGCGGGGCCGCGGCTGTTGCCTGGTAACTGCCGGGGCGACACGGCGAAGGCGTAGGACTCCGCCCCCCGCGTCGCGCGTGGCGAAGGGTCCCCCGCGTGGGTTCTCGCGTGGATTGTGGCAGCGAGCGGACTGGGGCGCCCTGTCTGTTAGAAGAGGAGCCATCGACCCCGTGTTGCGGTCCGTCACGGTGATGGCTTAGAGTTCAAGGGCGGAAGGGCATTCTCCGCCGGTCAGACCCAAGCTTAGCTGTTTTAGTAACGGCTTTATTGAGATTGGTCGTCAAGTGCGCCTTTTATAGTGTATGATCCATGGTTTGGGGTCCACTCAGAGAGCCGTGCAGTCACCACCGTCGTATCTCAGCACTTTTCCATCTCCCAAAAAGAAGCCCCCTTCCCCTTCCCAGCCCCCTGCAACCGCCAGTGTCCTGTCTACCTAGGCGGTTCTGCCTGTTCTGGACGTTTCCCGGTAGATGGGATCATCATTAGGAGTCTGTGTCTTTAACTTCTTTTTTATGGCTGAGTAGTGATCCATTGTATAGTATAGATATGCCATGTTTCCCCCTCCCCGCCAATGGATATTTGGGTTGTTTCTACTTCTTGGCTGTAATGAGTAATGCTGTACGATGGACATTTGTGCACATGTTTTTGTGAGGACCTGTTTTTTACTCTTCGGTATACACCAAGGAGTGGAATTGCTGAGCCTAAATTTGCCTTTCGAGGGGAAAAGTTTGCATGTTTTGGTAGCCTGCTGGTAATGATTTGTGTGACCGGCACAGGGGGCCTTCAGTACCCACAGGACTCGGTGTCAGGCTGCAACAGGTGTTAACCTGCAGTGCTGATGTGGACTGGTTCTCAGTTCTACCTGCCTGCCTGCCTGCCGGTGACTTCCTCAAGTGGGCTGCCTGAGCTCTGGGTCTTTACCAGGACCTTTACCCGGAATGCCTGGACATTCTCTTCCTCACTCTCAAGCTGCCCAACTTGGAAATCATGCTGGCGTGCCTTCATCATCTTATCCCTTTTGGTTACTCTGTTTCCACATGCCCTGGACCATTTCAGGGGTGGTCTGGCTTTCATTTAGCCTTTATTACCTGTTATTCCGCCCGGTCTATGGAGGTCTGTCTCACTTGAGAGCAGTGGAGGTGGAATTTATTCACCTTTCTTTCTTGGTGCCCTTCCTGTGAGCAGAGTATGCCGGGTGCTCAAAATGTGTTTTTAAGTTTTTATTAGTTAATTTTGGCTAAGCTAAAGTTCTTGACTAGTTGTTAATATTTAAACTTGACTAATCTTATTCTGTGACCTTGAAAATACGTATTATTTCTTGTTCTCTTCCATATTCCTTGCTAATTGCAGAATAGAATACCTTGTTGTCTTGAAATTTATTGATATTTATTTATTTTAATTTTTTTTAATCTTTATTTTTGAGAGAGACTGCCCAAGCGGGGGAGGGGCAAAGAGGGAGGGAGACACAGAATCCAAAGCAGGCTCCAGGCTCCCAGCTGTCAGCACAGAGCCTGACGCGGGCTCAAACTCATGAACTGCGAGTTCATGACATGAGCCAAAGTCGGAAGCTCGACCAACTGAGCCACCCAGGCGCCGCCCCTATTTATATATTTTTTAATTTAATGTTTCTTTCATTTTTGAAAGGAAGAGAGTGCACCAGTGGGGAGCGCAGAGAGAGGGGGGGACAGAGGATCCAGGGCAGGCCCTGCACTGACAGTAGAGAGCCTGATGTGGGGCTCAAACTCACAAACTCCATGCGGGGCTCCAGTCCATGAACCGTGAGATCATGACCTGAGCTGATGTCAGAAATGTAATGGACTGAGCCACCCAGGTGCCCCTGTTGTTATTTTTTTTAATGTTTATTTATTTGTTTTGAGAGAGAGAGAGAGAAATCATGCGCATGAGCCAGGGAGGGGCAGAGAAAGAGGGAGAGAGAGAATCACAAGCAGGCTCCATGCTGCCAGCACAAAGCCTGATACGGGGCTCAGTCTCACGAATTCTGAGATAATGGCCTGAGCCAAAATCAAGAGTCGGACATTCAACTGACCCAGCCACTCCGGCACCCCTGTTGTTACTTTCTTTTGAGTTTTTATCTGGCTTTATTGAGATATTATCGGCATGTAACGTTGTGTTAGTTTTAGATGTACAGTGTAGTGATTTACTATATGTATTTATTGCAATATGATCACAACTAGTTTAAGCAACATCACCTCATGTAAGTTACAAATTTTGTTTTTCAATGTTTATTTGTTTTGAGAGAGAGAGAGCAAGGGGCAGAGAGGGGCAGAGAGAGAATCCCAAGCAGGCTCCGCACCATCAGCACAGAGCCGGACAAGGGGCTCAATCTCATGAACCATGAGATCATGACCTGAGGTGAGGTCAAGAATTGGATGCTTTACCGACTGAACCACCAGGCGCTCCACGCATGGTTGTTTTCTTGTAATGAGAACTTCTAACATTCATCCTCTTAGCAACTTTCAAACATACAATACAGTGTTGTTAACTCTAGTTGCCATCCTGGGCGTTATAGCCCTAGGACTTCCTATTTTGTGACTGGAAGTCGGTACCTTTAACCCCCTCCATACATTTGTGTTGAATGTTGAATAGGTCCACTTGAGTTTATAGTTCCCATTTACTGTGGCCCCAACTTTGGAGAAGGTGACAACTCAGGAACTTAATTAAAATCAAGGTCTCCGAGGGGCGCCCAGATGGCTTGGTGGGTTGAGTGTCCCGACTTCGGCTCAGGTCACGATCTCACAGTTCGTGCATTCGAGTCCCGCATTGGGCTCTGTGCTGACAGCTCTGAGCCTGGAGCCCGCTTTGGATTCTGTGTCTCCCTCTCTGCCCCTCCCCTGCTCATGCTCTCTCTCGCTCTCAAAAATAAATAAACAACAAAAAAAAGGTTTTTTAATAATAAAAGAAAGGCCTCAGAGACCTGAAAAATTCACCTTGGGAAAGGAAAACCCAGAAACAGTCTGAAAAATAAACTGGGCCACTATTTCAAGATGTGAGGGGTTTGCCAAATGCAGCAGATGACATTCTAAATGATGAACAGTATAGGTGATAGAAGTGAATGCTAGATCAGGGATGGGCAAACTTCTTCTGTGAAAGGCCAGATAATAAGTATTTTCCGTCTCTGCCACATGCATGCAACCCTGTCTTTGCAGGAAAGCAGCTGCAGCTAAGATGGAAACATCTGTGTTTCAGTAAAACTTTATTTACAAAAAGACGTGGCAGTCTGTATTTGACCCACAGGCTGCAGATTGGTGACTCCTGTTCTAGATGTTTGCTTTTCATTAGCAAAATATTGCATTGAACAGGAGAGACCCACAGCCCTCAAGGATTGCTGGGAAAATATGTGATATTTAAGAGGGTTTTTGTTTTGTTTACATCTCCCATCTTACAAAAAAATTGGGGCCCCTGGCTGGCTCAGTCAGAAGAGCCTGTGACTCACTCGATCTCGAGGTCAGGAGTTCGAGCCCCACATTGGGTATAGATTGCTCAAATAAATATACTTTTTAAAACCCAATAAATACAAGAGCAAAAGGTTAAGCACTGTGTAAAATCTCTGATCTAAAGGAACATTGCTTATTCTTTAGATTTGAATAGAAAAGAATTAATCACCAGGTAAGCTTTGGGAGATTTTACTCTGTGGTACAAGCTCTCACCGTTAAGGAATTTTAGCTTTGTTAGAATGAAACATGGGGACCCCTGGGTGGCTCAGTCAGTTGAGCGTCCAGCTCTGGATTTCGGCTCAGGTCATGGTCTCATGGTTCGTGAATTCAAGCCCTGCATCGGGCTCTGTACTGACAGCCTGGAGCCTGCGTGGTATTCTCTCTCTCTCTCTCTCTCTCTCTCTCTC